CTCAAACACAACACCTAAACCACCAATCACATTGCTTTGCAGGGAACAAACACAGTGAATTGAGCCACTTTGAATGACCAACGGAAGCCCATTAACCAGATATTAAAAATATGTTTATTGATTTACAAAAAATTGATTCATTTAGGAGATTACTAGACTCTTATAACCCTCTCACAGCGCTTAAATACCCAATTAAAAACATGTTGACAATGTTGCCAGCAATACACACACCTTTGCCACACAGTCCACATTCACTAGTTCTGGCTGGTACTGTTACTGGCTTTGCTGGCATTGTAACTGGATTGTACTGGTACAGGTACTGGATTCACAGGCGCTGGTACTGGATAGCACTAGTATGGACAGTACAGACAATAGTTCTGGCTGGCACTTTTTTTTTCTTCCATTGATTGGCCACACAGTCCACATTCATATCCTTCACCGAAATGCTCTGAATTGTTAATTGTAAACTACAAATACTGGGAAGGGAGATCGTTTCTGTAAATGTTAGCGCCTGAATGAATTAAACGGTATAGGATTTCAATGTGGTTAAATGATCCGGCCGCAGCTGCAGTGGCTCCCTCCCTCCGCCGCCTCTCTGCCGCTAAAGATGTGGCTTTCTAATTGTGCAGCCGCTCGCTCCTCAAGGGCAGCCCTCTATGCCGCGGACAGGGGCCATTTTTAGAGGCAGCAGAGAGGCCCAGTCCGCCCCTGGTGCTGACCCCCCCTCCCCAGGCTGAGGCACCGGCTGCACCGGCGGCAGTTCCGCCACTGAATCTTATAAAGAAAACAGCTGTCGGTGCTGGAAAGCTATTAGGCAGAGTTGGGGGAGTGGCCTGCCACTGTCCAGAGTGCCCAGCCAGCCAATAGTAACGCTCTGACAATTCGTGTGGGGGGCGCCGCGCAGGTCACAGTGACGTGGACCCAGCCGCGCCCCAGGCATCATCAGGGGAAAGAAACTCGTTCCTGGATAGGCCGCACACATCCGAGGGCTGTGGAATCGGCTGCGTCAGTATTAATGGCAGACCTGATGTCGCTACAATGTTTTTGAAATCGCCGTTTAAAAGGTCCCATAGTCTTACCCACGTATTCTAGACCACATGGGCATTTTAAAACATAAACGCACGTTTCAGTAATGCAGTTTAGGTAACCCTTAATCCGAAATGTCTTGCCACTGTATGTATGTGAGAATGTTTCGCCTGTGATGAGTGCACTGCACACGTTACAGTTGAAGCACTTATAGCAACCCGTGGGAATATTTGGGCCTGTCAACTGTTTATCTGCCTGTAGAATGTTGAGATTCTTGATTGTGGATCTGCGAATGAGATGTGATGCCCCATTGAATCTCTGGATAAAGGGTAATCTATCACCAGAATATTTGTCTATGTGTGTAACAGAAGACATTTTATCGATCGTCTGCTTAAGGGCATGATCAAGTATAGTGTCCAGGTAACCTCTCTGTCGAAACTTGGAGTACATTGTTTTGAGTTGTATGTTGCACGCGTCTTGATCCGAACAAATGCGTAGAAAATCCATAAATTGTGATATAGGTAAATTGTCAAGCAAGTGTTTTGGGTGTGAATGTAGAGGGGTGTCAATCATCCTGGCCATAGGATGTGTGATTGAGTCAGTTACTGAGACGAAAGGGCAACATTTAAGTGGATTAAGACCCTTGTGGACCTTGGGTAGCATATGTATATATAACACCGCTATCCTAGGGTAATCATCAATGAGAAAGCTTGCCAGTTTGTCAACCATCCACCCATTAGTGATGCCCATCTCAACCAAAGTTTTAAGTTCACAGGTTGCTTTCTGTATTATATCTCTGTTGGTGATTTTGTAGCTGGTTTCATCACTCAGTAATGTCAACATGCCATCTCTGTAATTGGCATAGTCCATGACCACTATGGCACCCCCTTTGTCAGCAGGTTTAATTATAATAGATGAATCCTGCATCAGATCCTTGAGGCCAGTGAATTCCTCCCCATTCAGATTATTGTGAGTTCTACACTTGGAGGCCGAGGTGAGGACCTCGTGTTTCAAAGTGTGCTGGCAGAGAGGCTAATCACTGGGTTTTCTTGTTCTGTCTCCCTCAGTTCGTTCTTGTGTTGATGCCTCGTTGTTTTCAGGCCCTGCCAGGGTGGTCTGCGTCGTCTGTAAGAGGAAAAGGGTGTATGGTGTCACCCTGGTGTGAAGTGCCAGCAGGGAAACCTTGGTCACTATCGGTTGACTGGTTCTCCGTGGGACGTTTGCTGTCAGTGGATGAAGCAGCTAAGGCCCCTCTTTGTTTGGGGCGACCCCTTGTTCTCTGAAAGATGGGTCCGTTGCACCCACTTCTCATTGATGGAACAGCGGTTCTGAATGCAATGGGTATATGGACTGTATCCCGCTCTCTATCCTGACTCGCTGTCACAGGAGGCTGAGCCTGCGGTGCGGGGAGAAGAGCTCGGTCTCCTTTGATAGCTGACTCCTCCCCCACACCGCCGGCTCGGCCTCCTGTGACGGCTCACATCTGTCTCTGCCTCGTCGGGGATGAAAGCTCGGCTTACTCTGACACGCCGGCTGCTCACAGCGCACTCCTCCACATACCATGCCTGTAGTACATAATCATTGAAGTTTCAGATTGTGGAAATTATTGATCCCCTAATAAGAGGAAGCAGAAGAGAGATTTTTTGGATTTTTACTATTGATACACACATTTCAAACTGAATTAATTTCTAATGAATGATGCAGTATATACCATACAATAGATGTTAGCTGTGAAACAATGTGATGCAATGTGAAAAGAATAACAACTAGAAAAAACGAATGTGTATAACATGCACTACAGTGAAAATAATAAATGGTTAAAAAATGTCCATGATCCTGGATCTTCAATAGTCCATTAGGAAAATAGAAGATAAAACATTGAATGTAAAATAATCTCAGTCTCCTGTGACCATCAACAGAGAAATCTTCTGGAATGCACCTCACCTTTAGCAGAGACCCACCAGGATCTGTATGCGCTGTTCCTCTAATTCAAACCAGGTAGATGAAGCACCTGATGCCGAACATCTCCCAGTGATTTCCTCCTCTCAGGTACAGACTCTCTTGCAGTCTCAGGAGTTGAGAGCAGACAATTCATCCGAATGGCCCATGCATCAAATAAAAAGTGGAGACTCGTAGTGCAGATGGTTTTAAAAGGATACTAAACTTTATTAAAAAAGGATACTACTCACATATCATAGATAAAAGTAAGGTTTTTAGTAAGCAGCCAAAGACACTGTGTGCAATCGCTCACCTCCTCTACTCCACCCTACGTACGTTACGTCAATGGGCGTGACTTCATCAGGGGTGTGGGTTTTGTAGCAATGTATTTACACTGAGGTGCATGTTATACACATGCGTTTCTTCTTTGATTCACACTTTTTACACATTGTATCACATTATTTCAAGGTCACTATCTACTATATCTGACACTTTTGCAGTTTAATTCAAACAGCGTGGCTTTTATTATTAATTGTATACTATATATCTGACCACACAGATTTCAGCTGCTGCTTAACTTGATTGGAGTTGTGGCGCGAGGTTTCACATTATTCTGGATGCAGTATATACACTTACCCCTTGTTTGACGTTTAACATTATTTAATATGGTTGAGATGAAATCATGTAAAAAAATTACATATTTTTATATGTAAATTTAGCGGTTAGACAATTTTTTTTTTTTTTTTGCATGCTGGCTGGTGAGTGTGCTGGGAAAGAGTTGTAGGTGACACTGAAGATGCCCTAAAATAGATAGGAGGAGAACCAGGAAAGAACAGAGTCTTGGAGGCTAATGGAGTGGAATTTTTGAGGAGGAGCTGGTGGTCAACTGTATCAAAGACCAGAAAAAGGTCTAAAGCTGCCCACACACCTTACAATGTATCTGCAGATTTTCTGTGGTCAGATGGAAAAGGTGCAACAGATTTCTCCATGTACACTTAACTGTGTACTCCACCTGGGCCAATCTGTTGCACTTTTTCCATCTGACCACAGAAAATCTGCAGATAAATTGTAAGTTGTGTGGGCACCTTAAGAGTATGTGTACAGAGCAGTGGCCATTGGTTTTAGCAGATAGTAAGTCATTGGGGAATTTTAGGAAAACGTATGGGTTTTAGTTTAGGAAAGCTTTATTCCCCCTTTGATGCAACATTGCAACACACACAATATATGCTGTATATTTATTTAATTTTCTATTTCTATACACTTTTGTTTTTTTTTACAATTTTTAAATTATACTTTTTTTCTTCATGGCAGGTTTGGATCTGTTCAGTGGAGACCAGATTTAGAGTAATAAGGAAACATGGAGCAGCTAGACCCTCACACATCTAATCCCACTGCTGGAACGTCTGTGCCTGGCGAGGCTTCCGTCTAAGCCTAGAGTCCTTAAATCTGTAAAAACAGGCATTTGAAACGGGGTCCATCCATTAATATCAATTTATTTCAAAAGACATAAAAACAGCCAACAACAAGCATCTGAAGCCTTTTAGCCTCTCAACTGGACCTTAGTCGTAGCTACGACTGAAATAAAGTGATATTAATATACAGACCCCATTTCGAGTGTCAGTTTTTGCAGATTTATAGACCAGATTCAGATCCCCATGCAGCTGTGCATGGGGGACATGCAGACAGCCGATGATTCCAACAAAAGTGCCAGCAGGGGCCCGCTGGAGCCGGTGAGACTGGCTGCTATTTTAAAAAGGGCATTTGGATTAATAGCTGCTATTTCAGCACTGTTTGGTCCAGCCCACTAAAAAATAAACACACTAGGGACTGGCCAGCCATCACACAGGCAAAGCTCTCCATGTCGCACCTTTAGCATAGCACCATGAAGGCTTTTCAACAGAGTCTGGGAGATAATGTAATATTGTAAAACATGGAACTCTTGGCCAAGGTAGCCTGATAGAGGACCTACAAAAGAGCAAAACACATAGCAAGGCTACACATTCATGTTAATATAACCCTGTATATCTCCATTTCTTTTAATTCTCAATGATGGGTGAAAATGGCAATACCCACTGCCATGCAAGGTATAAACTTTTAGCTTGAGGGTGATTCTCTTTCATTGCTTCAAACATGTTTAAATCATCTTTATCCAGCAGCCAGCCATACATTTGTATCGTTAACAGGCGGGGAAGTCTGGAAAAAAAACGAACAAAGGAAGTCACAGTGGTGGCGTGGGACTTGATCTGCTGGTTGTACATACGACCTATATTCAGGTGACTGAGCTCTGGCATACGTCCAGCCGTTTCAAAAAACTTTGTCCATCCAGATTCTGTAATGTTACCATTACATTGAAGCTGCAGATGCTGAATCTTCTCCAAACAGCCATTTCTTGTTTCTTCACCTGCATTTTTAGAAATAAATTTCCTTCAAGTGAAAATTGTTTTACTTATTTTCCTGCAAAATACATAGTAACATAGTAGATAAGGTTCAATAAAGACAAGGGTCCATCCAGTTCAACCTATGTGTGTGTGATTGTGTGTCTGTATTTATTGGACTCTAACACTGCCCATATTTTTGTTTATCAAGTGAAATAAGAAACTCATCGAGAAGTTTCTTATATTTATCAATGATCTCGAGGGAGACTACCGCCTGTGGAAGGGAATTCCACAATTTCACTACTCTGACAGTTAAAAAAAACATACGATTTCCGAGATTAAACCCCCTTTCCTCCAACCTCCTGTTGTGTCCCCAAAATGTTGGATCATTTTAGTGTTGTATTTGAGCACATACATCTCTCATATAGCTAAAACACTGACTTCAGAAAATAACCAAATATTTTATACATATATAAAAGTATTTTCTCAGAGCAATCTATATCTGATTCTAATCAGACTTATGTAAATAGGAGAACCTGTGATTTGGTTTCTGATTGTTTTGAATGTGATATTTAATCATGTGGTCACTTAAAAAGTACCTATATAGAATATGTTTTTAAGGGTTAGCATTAATATTTTAGCTAGTTTTGATACTCTAGTAAAATATTATTTTTACTGTAATGGATGGGGTTTTTTTTACTTTTACAATACTTTGTCCTTTTTTCATGGGTTTAGATATTCAGCAACCACACATATAATTGTTATGTTACACACCTTTTGTTCTGTAATAGCTTTTTGAAACATTTGAATGAGGCACCTAACACTATTGAAATTAAACAGGTTCAAGCCAGATTCTTGGCTTACCTAACAGCGCAATAGATTCATCATCTAAAACCTCCAGCATGGAAAGGAACTGGAGGTTAGGAAGCTTCTGGAATTGTTCAATAATCAGTTTAGCCGCATGAGCTATTCCTTGTCCTGCTGGAATCCACAGCTTCTCCAACTGAGTAAGGGAACCCAATGCAACCGCTTTAAGGGAATAATATTTTGTCATTTCAGATGACAACACATATAACACATATAACACATACAACACATACAACACATACAACAAGATGGTTTCTATAAGTCACACCATCCACTGACTGCCCTATGATAATTTTGCAGATGGACTTTGTGTAAAAGTGTACATTGTGGTAAACTGAGCATACAATGAATAATAGCTGTTGCTCATTCGATTTACCTCGGGGTGGCCATGTACTGTATATTTGTGATGAAACAAATATCTTTTTTTTTAAATTTCTAAATCTTTACTTTACTTGATTTCTATGATACATAAATCTGCAAGTGTGCAAATGAAAATTATGTAGAAAAATAAAAATATGTATAAAGAAAATTATATTTTATTTTAAAGCAGAACTAAAGTATTTTTAATGCAAACACTTTAAAAATCGTGCATGCATGCATGCACATTTGCAAATCTGTGCTGGCTTTTACTTCAGCCTTTTTCGGGAGTGCTGTCTAGATTCATTAGGGGTGGCTTTAAAATCAATTAAAATTGCAAGCGTACTTGGTTTCCCCTCCCCCTGTACTGTAGCGCCTTGTGTGTTGGCCCTAAGTCCTGTTTCAGCAGGTACTGTATGTGCTTCCTTGAACACAGCATGATTGGTTTTTCATGGTGCCCAGTAAGTACACTGTGCTGGCTGGCCACCAGCATCCTAGCAACAAATGACATTATCAATTGCTAGGACGTATGCGGCTGGCCCACACAGAGTGCTTGGTTGCACCTTTACCTCTATTGCAGCATCTGGAGTGCCAGCCCTGAATCCAGTCTCAGCAGGTATGTGCTTCCTTGAACGTGCACCACATCAGATCACATACATTGCACCATTGATGTGAAGGGGGGGACTGTGATGTGAAGGGAGGACTCTGATGTGAAAGGGACTCTTGATTTGAAAAGGGGGACCAAGATGTAAGCCATGACTGGGTGCCAAGCCATGACTGGGTGCCATGGCTGAAAATGGTTGAGAAACACTGTGTTGAAATATCCATATGCTATCTTGCACCGTCTTTTTCATTTATTTCCTCAGCATAATGGGAGGTGATTAAGGGGTGCAACCATCTAAGGAAGTGGTGTAAGTATTGCCTCACAAGGAGTTCACTGTAGGAACTAGTTTTATTTTTTCCCTGGAATCAGGTGTGTAATAGTGAGTATCTATCCCCACTCTTATCCTGCCTCTCTTCTGCTTTTTTTTAGCCACTTGTTTTACTAAATGCAGTTACCAATCAAACGACAAGGGAGAACACAGGGAGGGCTGCATTGTGCTGTGTGGTGATGGTTTCTGTGCCTTATGCAAATGTAAATCATAGTGACACACTAAGAGGGAGGTGTGTGCAAAGTCTATGACTTCTAAGTTGTGCAGCAAACAAAGATCGAGCCAAGAGGTCAAAAAGATTTCAAGACACTGTTGCTATATCTTCACAGCAGCTAGGAAACCTACTGAGAAAACCAGAAGACAGATAGACAACATAGTTTTGCAAGTATGCATGCATGCACTATTTTTAGCATTTAGTTTTAGAATGTTTGCAATAAAAGAGAAGCTTTAGTTCTACTTTGAGATTCTAAATAGTATCAAAACACAAATCCCCAAATTCTGCACTCCCACTTCTAAAAGGAACTGTACTCTAGCTGCTGTTTTTTCAAAAAGTTATAATATGGATTACCCTGTGTGTGCAGGTCATAAACTGCGCGAATCTAATCTCCAAGTAAATAATAAAATATGCAGCGAATCTAAAAAAACAAATGAATAAGTTCCCCAGTAAATTTAAAATTGTGTAGTGCAATAAATGTATATAAGCATTTGAAACATACTATGCATTCATCTCTAAACATGGTCTTATTAAAATGAACATATGATGCTGTTTTTCTGGGGCAGTCATGGCAGCATACCAATTAGTTAAGCTCTGCCCACTTTAACCCAACATGACTGAATACGAATATATTTAAGAGTACAACTGTCTGCGGCATTCTTTTTTCTTTCCTTACCATAAGACTGGATAGCGTGTTTCACCATACAAAATATCTAGATTTGAACATCCAAATTTTATTTTTCCTCTTACCTTCTATTTCTTTGTTTTGCACCCAGCTAGGTTCAGCCTCTCCTGGTCTGAAGTTGTTTCCTGTAAGACTCTTAATGAGTCCCCCTGAAGAAGTCCCCAACTTGTATGGTACATTTTTCTTCACCTGGCGGGTTGGCTCATAATCTACTGCTAAGCGTACCTTCTGTACACGTGCTGTTCTCCCCTATACCTGGTAAACTACCTGTAGCTGGAATGCATGTTTTGTGTTCTATAAGGCTCCTCCTTCCAGTCTCCTTATTGGTTAGGCTTCCAGACACCTTTTTCCAATATGGCATCCAGCATGTTGCAGCACTACTGCACATGCACAGCATCACAGTATGGCGGAGGGTAAGGCTAGGAAATTTTGCACTACAGTTGAGGGACTTTTACAGTGGCTGTGGTGGTGTTGCGTTCTGCTGACCACAGTCTAGTTCCTGTAAAGAGCATCTTCTTTTGACACTGCAAACCTTCTGCTCTGGAAAAGGCCTTTCCCTATCACATTGTCTGTTTCTCTATGTCTGCCTATAGTCTTTAGTTGCTTACACCTCCTGATGTTTTGTTGACAAAGCTTTGATCATGGACAATGCTGTCCACGCAGACCACCCTAAGTCAGTTAGATAAAAGCTAGTAGAAAACAGTAAAAGGAAATACATGCAAAACAGAGTCCACATTAAAATTGTGTTAACATCCGCATAGCCATGTGTACAAAAAAAATTGTGCTAGATCCTGTCTCTAGATCAACTCTGCAGAAGCACAGTAGATTAAATTCTGCAAGATCTCCTATGGATCATTCTTAAGAAGGTCATCAACATAGAGACCAATGCTGGGAATGCCGGCAAGTGACTATCTCAGACAAATTGGTACAACAGGTCAAGTGAGTCAAATATGAGAGAAGTCATGTCCCTTAAGACTGGGTAAACACCTAGGCGACACTGTCTTTGCACGTTTCTATGCGTGTTTTTGTGCCATTATACGCATAAATTAAAGTTGCATGTTTTTGTGAGCAGATTCTAGGCGCACGTAAAAAATGCGCAAAAACACAACAAATGTGCGTTTTCTTATTGAGTCTATTGGACCAAAAGGAGCTTTAATATGCCAAAAAAAAGCTCATGTACTTTTTCCAGGGACATGTGTTTTGCTTATTGCAACAAAACGCTCAGATGTGAACAGAGCCATAGAAATGAATGGGATTTTTTGGGGGGCAGATTTTTTGAGCAATATTTAGGGCATAAAAAGTGCTACAAAATGCTCAGTGTGAATCAGGTTTAAAGGTCAGACAGTCTGTGACACCTTGCCGGACTTGCAGGGGTCTTCCACCTCAAATGCAGGAACCTCCTCAGTTGATCTGTCCACTTCTCAAACTGCTGCAACCATTACACCTTCAGGTAAAAGGTATTCTAACTCCAACATTAGTGACAAAGACCAGGCCATATTATTCTGAATAGTCGTAGATTTCATGTTAGTCAAGTCATTTGTCATATCCGTTCGAGAAGCCTTTAATTTACCCCAAAAATAACCAGTTTCCTTCATTTTTATAGCATTTAGGTCTGATACCTTTGGACAGGAGGCCCTATTTAACAGAAAACAATCCAGATAAGTGTATCTAATCAGACAAATCAAAATAAAAGCATAATCTTTGATTGAAGTGGCAGAAAAAACCTGTCCGTTCTGCAGAGCCGTTACCAGCTGTTTGACATACAAATGATCGGCAGCTCTATAGTCACCGATTGCTTGTATGTTGTGGCTGCTCGCCCCCCCCCCTCATGCAGTGCTGCCGTCTCCCCCTCCTGCACCCTCACCTTCAATCCCGGGATCCGCTACCCCATCTGCGGCCCGGGACTGGCTCTGGAGGGCGTCAGGAGGAAGATGAATGAGATCTTCCTCCTTGCTGATCTCACTCCATACTGTGAATGTGGAAGTGATGTGTATTACATCAATTCCGCATTCACCCGTCAGTCCACTGGTTGCTATAGCCAGAGAGAAGAAGCTGATGAAGCAGATCTCTGCTTCATCAGCTTCTTTGGGGTCCCCAGGTGACATTAGGGGTCTTAGAGTCCCCTAATGTCTCCATAAAGAGGACCTGTCAGTGTGCCTTTGCTATTACATAGGGGGATTGTTATCCCCTATGTGATAGCAATAACATTAAGTGTAAAAAATAAATACAAAAAGTTAAAAAAATAAAAGTCACATATAACAAAAGTTAAAAAAACAAACACATTTTTAAGTCCCCCACCCCCATGTTTACGCACATATAAACATAAATACGCATCAGATGCGCCATTGTGCGAAAACAACAATTGCGCTACACATGCTACATATCGCCGCAAACGTCGAAGTGAGAACAATAATTTTAGGGCCATCAATCACTGATAACACTAAACTGATGAGCGGTAAAAGCTTTTAAAGCATTGCGTATGGCCAATTTTGGGTATAGTAGTTTTTTGAGGTTTTGCGCACACGCAATTTAAAGGATTGACATGTTTGGTGTCTTTTTACCCGACGTGACCCCTTCTTTTATATTTTACCAATAAATTGGGTAATAATAAATGTTTTATAATTTAATATAGGGGAAACAGTTTTTGTTTTTTTTCGGTAATTTTTCCTTAATATAGTAAAAAATAAAAACCCCAGTGGTGATTAAATGCCACCAAAAGAAAGCTCTATCTGTTCCCAGAAAATGGTATAAAATTAATTTCAGTACAGCGTTGCATGACGGAATAAATGTCAGTCAAAATACTGCAGCGCTGAATACTGAAAAATGGCCTGGTCAGGAAGGTGGTGTAACACCCTGGACTTCAAGTGGTTAAAGTGCACCAAGACTAGGAAAAGTTCATTTTAATTTTTTTTATTTTTTACAAGCAGCAAAAGACTCTTAAATCAAGCCCTCTCTCACCTTTCTAGCTGCATGTACTCTAAAGCAAATAATTCTCAATTATCCTCAAAGATCACAAAACGACTAGTTTCATCACTTTCTAACAGTTTAGGAACGCATGCTGTGTGTTTGTGATACGTCATTTCAATTCCTCTGTTGTGAACTTTGAAGATGGATTGCTCCACAAATGTTTATAGCTAGAGAGGTGAATCATGACACAGGTTCTGAGTATGACTGAGGCCAATGGTAAAGATCATTATTCAAAATAGATACTACTGTAGATATTATAAAGTAAGTAATTATTCATAAAGGTTACCTAGTGTCTCTGCTGTATCCTTTTCTGTTACTTTAAGGCTGTGCAAATTTAGACATTTCAGCAATGTGAAGTTCTTAATTGCTGTTGCTGTCAATGAATAAATAATAACAGTTAGAGCTAAGAAGATTAAGGATTTAGAGAAGTTGGTTACTGACAAGAACTTTCAGTGATTCAACCCAGCTGCTGTACGAGAAAAAAAACAGACACTCACTGGGAGCAGATCAATCACAGGAGTGATCAGCTCCTGAAGGTGCCCATACACCTGCCGATTATCGTACGATAATCGCGGGTGATCCCGCGATCGTATGATAATCGGCAGATGTATGGAAGGCGTGCAACCGTTTCTACTGTAAGGTCGCACATCTTTTGTCTTCCGAGCACGCTTGAAAACCTGCCGAAAAATGTAAGACTTTTGGCGGGTTAGTGGCGTGCTCGGAAGACAAATGCCAAACGGGCCGGTGTGCGCAAGTGCACACTGCCCGTTCAGCATTGGAATCATCGGAAGCTCTCCCCTCAGCGGGGAGGGCTTGCGATGATCACAAGTACGATCTGCCTGTCCAAGATGGGCAGATGGTACGAGCTTTTAATTACCTTACAACCATCGCACAACGAAAGTCGTACGATGGTTGTAAGGTGTATGGGCAGCTTAAGGAGGGAAACCCATTTGCTATTATCCTCTCCTAGATTTAGGTATACAGCTGCATCTCTGTGTTTTAGCTCTTTAAGGGGAAAAATGACAATAGGCTTTTTCTATAAAACATTCAAGCAAATATTTCTTCAACCAACCCTGGTGGGGAACTAGTACTCTGGTAACTCAGACATTATCTTAATATTACATGTTAGATTGATCCAGAGATTTGGGCAGCTGAAGTTATTGTTATGAAGCTTTGTTACATTAAAGGAGAACTATGGGGTCAGAGTCTTTCCCCATAGTTCTCCTAAGGGTAACGGGAGAACACAAACAAACGTCCTCCCGTCACCCTAGGCCCAGTATACAAGTCACTCTCCTGTCACGGTTCTCTGCAGTGACAGGATCGAGAAGTGAGCGAGCGCCGGTATGTGTTCGCTCACTTCCCGATCTACTGAGCGACCTGTGACAGTTTCATTGTCACAGATCGGCTAGAACTATGAGGTGAGTGAAAATCACTCACCTCATAGTTCTCCTTCAAACCTCAACTCAAGCCAAAACTGTTTTTTGACAAGGTTAGAACCCCTGTAAAAGTATTTATTGCAGTTTATGTTCCTATAGGGAAGTTTTCCCCTCACTTTCTACCAGGACAGGAAGTGATCACAGATATTTCTAGTTAAGGCAAAGACTGGAACAAAACAAATTATTTTTAATAAAATGGGAAATAATAAAAACCACTGCCAGTTATATACTACTGCCTGTAACTTTCTGCCTGGATGATAACTGCTCACCCCATTCCTCATCCTATGATGTCCCAGGGACAGAAACCGAGTCGGAGCTAAAGTAGAAATTTGAAAGAGGAATTTACTTTTGCCCAAGTGAATGCAAAACTAAAAATAAATAAATAACATTATTGGCTGTAGTTTGGCTTTAATCCTTTGATGACTGTATGCCCGGAAACAAACTTAGCAGTGTCAGTATGCCACTGTTGAATTGACAATAACTCTATGACAATTTAGCTCAACTAATTTTTTTTTTTTATAGAAATACAACAAGGAATATTTTATGCAGGCTAGTAAACACACACTCAGCATATGTAAACTGCGGAGTGGCACCTGAACACAGCCTGAGTGCTCTTTGTAAATACCGTATAAGATAGGTGTAGTGACGATTCTATTTTGAAGCTGAACCATATTTACTTTTATTTTCAATTTGACTCTCTCTATAATTCAAATACACATACATCAAACACAGCAAATGTTAAAACCAGCAAGTTCTTACCCAGAAAAGTGATGTCACTCTCCTGTAGAGTTGATCTATGCAGATTCAGCTCTTTTAACTTTTTGCAAGTCATAAGTGAGTTCATGAGATCACTGCAATTCACATTCTTTAAACCTATATCCAGGTATTCCAAGTTTTCAAAGCTTTGGAGGAGAAGAACTGTAATAAAGGAAAAAAATCATAGATGCAATTAAGTAACATTATCTAGCCATTTGTATGATATGGATGCTTTGTTTGAAATAACTCATTTTTATATTATTTAGAACAGGAGAGAAGCAGTAAAGGGGGCATAATACAGAGGGAACACTGTCAGAGGAGGACGGGAAGAATACAAGGGGGCCCTGGAGCAGAGGAGAGTAGCAGTGCAGGACAGCAGTACTGGGGAATACTGGACATGGAGCAACACAGGGGGCACTGGAGGTGGAAGAAAGTGGGAGTACAGTGGGGATACTAGACGTGGGGCAGAGGAGCAGTACAGCAGGAATACAGAAAGAAACAGCATGGGGGGGGATACTTAAGGTATTGGAGAAAGCAGTACATGGGGCACTGGATTTGGAGGAGACTAGCTGTACAGTGGGAATACTGTACATAGAGGAAAGGAAGTGTAAAGGGGGCATTGGATGTTAAATATTAAAGTGTACTATCTCGCCTTTGATACTCTTCTTATCTACCTCTAGTGTTCCACTGTATTATGACTCTCTCTGGGGAGAGTCATAATACAGTGGAACACTAGAGGTAGAAAAGAAGAGTATTAAAGGCGAGATAGTACACTTGAAGGGAGATCGGTAGGAATAAAAGCTGCAATACATAGAGATGCTAGTGCCAGTAGAAAGCAGCAACAGGGTGGGCAGCTGGAGGGGAAGGAAAAGTGTAACATTTGGATATTACAGGAAAAGGACAGATGCACTACTGGATACCATGCTGGTGGAGAGAACCAACCATTTCAAATGATTTGTCATACTTTTGTCAATACTTATAATTCACATCCTTAATAATTCAAATCCTAGGACATGTGTAGGAACCCTAATAGTCCAAAGCCATTCTTCCCTCGGACACTTAAATAACAGTGCTATACAACAACAGTGTAAAGGGAAAAGTCAACTAAATGCTGATCATTCATGGCCTATGCTACTATGACAATGGCACTACAGAATTATCTATTTATGTATGGGTACATAGATACTGTATTTGTAAAGTGGTGAATGATCTCTGGACAGTTGCCCCTTATTTTCCGTCAGGATGTTCACCACATGTGGTTCTTACACATTTTGCAAATCAAGTACCATTTGCCACCGTACCACCAAATCCAGATCCCAGTAATGGACATCATATAATATATTATGTTACAATATGCAAGGTCACGACTATCATGTCATGTTCCGGGAGGTACGTGGCGCGCTGATGACATAGGGCGCTGAGGTCCTGAGCGTTGCCCGTCCACGAACCCTGCCTTGCTAAGGAAAGGCAATGACATAAACGGCTCTAACCGGCTCTCTTCACCTCCGGCACCGTCAGCCTCACCCTCTCTCTCTCCCCCTACAAACAGTGTCACATTTTCGGGCAGGCACTCGGCACCCGGCATCGGACACATGACGGACATCTGACGCCAGGTTTTGTCATATACTGACCCATCGATTTCAAACCACACTGAGGCCACATTGGCCTGAAGCTTGTAGCAGGATTGTGCATTAGCATAAATGAAATTAAATATACTGGTTATAGGAAAAAAAAGGGGGGGGGGTAAATTATTTTTTTTTAGGTCTAAACAAAAATAAAATAAGATGGTTTGGGTTTGTGGCAGGACGAGCACTTGGCGCTCTGCTAATCGGCCACCACAACCCCATTAACCCATATTAACAGGGCTTACTTGTATGGTTAATGTAGGACATCAAGGGAAATGTCCTACATACAACATGAAAGAAAATGTATGTATGTCCTGAGAACAAATGGAGTGATAGGTTGTAAAATAGGGAGGGAAGATAAGATTGTGATGGTGGAAATTGTATGTGGTGATAGGAATGTACTGAATAGGTCATATGTAAAATGCACTATGAATCATGGAAAAAAACAATTAAGAAATGAATAGGTTAGCACTAGTTACCTTAAGGGCATTTAATATACCTGGAAAACGTTCACAGATTTTGTATCACTTTCACAAAAAAAGAATGGATATTTTATGTTTACAGGAAACACATTTTAAGAAGGGGGATAACCCTGTTATTAGAGATAGAATTTACATGAAATGGTATCATAGCACAAACCCAGATAAAAAAGCAAGAGGAGTATCAATAGCAATACACAAAAATGCACAGATTGAAGTTATAGACACTGTTATAGATGAGAAAGGGAGATATGTGTTTATTAAATTTTCGTATTTCAAACAAATGTATTCACTGGCAAATATTTATGCACCGAATAAGGGACAACATGGATTTTGCACAAGGGTACTTTGTAGGTTTGATTAATTTGGGGTAGGCACAAATTTGGTGATGGCAGATTTGAATTTAATTTTTGATAAAAATCTTGACACTACAGGTAAATCTTCCCCTCCAGGAGAGGCATTAAAGAGACTTAAAGATAAAATGACCAACATGAGATTAGTGGATGGATGGCGTGTATTATATCCCACAAAAAGAGATTATACTTACTACTCTATGGTGCATAGAACATATAGTCGGATTGATCATATATGGATACATCAGCGAATATTGGACTATGACCCAGAGATAGAAATAGGTTCGATATTATGGTCAGATCACTCACCAGTGTTCTTAACAGTAAAAACTGAGAACAGAAATAGAGGTATTGGAGACTGAATGATAATTTATTTAAAAATATAGATTGTCAGGAAGAGGTAAATCTCACTATAAATAACTTTATAAAAGACCATCAAAATGACACTACAACATACCCTATCCAATGGGAAACCTTAAAATGCAAAGTAAGAGGTATTTTTACTAAACATGGCTCTAGATTAAAGAAAGAGAGGGCAAGTAAATTGAAGGGATTATTTAAGAAATTGGAGGCAATGAATAAGACGAATGTAACAACAAAACACTCTATCCAATTAAATGAAGTGAGATTGGACATTCCTAATATTCTTGACCAACAAACGTTAATTACCAGAGATAAAAATCATCATTATAAAGAAGGTAATAAGTGCGGAAAATTACTAGCCAGGAAAATCCACCCTAGGGCCCCTAATACTAATATAATAGGTATTAAAGATGGAAAAGGGAATTTACTACACTCTCCGTCCTCGATAATAGAAACCTTTCGAAAATACTATGCATCTCTGTACTCAATACGAGGCAAATATGCAGATAAGGTAACGGATAAACATATAGACAAAATAAAGAACTATGTAAAAGAAGCAAATTTGCCGGTACTAGGTATCGAGGATGGAGAAAAAATGAATTTAATACTTTCAGAAAAAGAAATAAAAGAAGCAATATCCACGCTACAAGTCAATAAGGCCCTTGGGCCAGATGGGTTTACAGCTCGATTTTATAAACAGTTTGAGGAGCAACTAAGACCTTTTTTCACAAAGGTCTGTAACTCAGTTACAGAGAGTTGCCCCTTCCCTAGACAGACACTGGAAGCACATATATCTGTACTCCCAAAACCAGGGAAAGACTTAACAGAATGTGGACTCTTTCGCCCAATTTCCCTCATTAATATCGACTTGAAGATCTACGCAAAAGTACTGGCTGCTAGGTTAAAAAAAGTCCTTCCAAAAATCATTAATTTGGATCAAACTGGATTTGTTCAGGGACGGGAGGCTAGAGATAGCACAACCAGGGCTATCAATTTAATAGGACTCGCACAGAAAGAAAATATACCACTTTGCCTTCTGTCAATTGATGCTGAAAAAGCATTTGACAGAGTAAACTGGACCTTTCTCAGAGAGTCCCTCCTGCAAGTGGTGTGGGCGAACTATTTGTGTCTAAGGTAATGGCATTGTATACACACCCAACTGCAAGGGTGAGGGTGAATGGGGAATTGTCCGTCCCCTTCCCAATTTTTAACGGAACCAGACAGAGATGTCCCTTATCACCTTTACTATATGTTATAGTGATGGAACAACTAGCTGCTACTATTAGACAAAACCCTTCGATTAAAGGCATTTTTTCCCTAACACAACAACACAAAATGGCACTATATGCAGATGATTTACTTTTTTTTATAACCTCTCCATTAATCTCAATCCCTAATATTCTTAAAGACCTGAAGGAATATGGTGACTTAAGTAATTTTCATATAAATATATCAAAATCGGAATTCCTAAATATATCCTTAACTGATAAAGTAAAATTTAGTATAAAGGAAAGTTATCCATTTGGATGGCAGCCCAATTTTATTGTATACCTGGGCATTAATATTCCTTTAGACCTTAATACACTTTATGATATTAATTTTAGAGAATGGTCAGATAAGATTTTCGCTCAATTTATACATGGAGTAATATACGATTGTTCTGGATGTGTAGAGGAAATGCTCTAAAAATGGACATCCTGCCCAAAATATTATATAGATTCCAGTCAGTTACCATACTAAATCCAGATGCCATTTAAAAAAAACTAAGGTCGGCAGCAATGAAGTTCGTGCGGGCTAATAAAACCCCCCGAATCAGCGCAAAAGCATTAATGAGATCAAAACAAAGAGGAGGATTGGGAATTCCGGATTTTGCACTTTATCATAAAGCGGCTCTAATATCTGGCTACATAGCAGTCAGAACAAGGGGGTAGTAAAATTAGAGAAGGATATTTCACCTATACCACTGAGGAATATCCCCTGGCTGCCAATAGAAATTAGACCACATATGTCAACTATGCCATTTTTAGCTAAATCGGTACTACAAATCTGGGATAGGACTATTACTAAATATAATTTATCATCTAGACCGGGGCCCCTGACTCCCATTGTGGGAAATCCACAATTTCCACCAGGTATGCAAGCGGTCTCCTTATTAAATAATGAGAGCACTTCCCATATACGGGTATGGCAGGTTCTGGAGCCAGGTAAAGAAGAATTGAGAATGGAGTTAAGACCAGAGAGACAAATTAATGGAAAATTGTGGATGGAGGCAGCTCAATTATTAGACTATATAAGATACCTTAGGACACCTAAAACACATAATAGGCCATTTACGCCATTTG